TTAGGGTTTTAGGGGTTTAGGGTCCTGCGCTAAACTGGGCCTAGGGATTGCCTGCAGGGTTTCATGGTGGGTTTTGGGCTTTCCTGGGAGTTCTGTAGGGTTGAGCTAAGGCTTGAGGTTCTCTGGTGTCGGGCTCATCACAAAGCCGCTGACCCGATAAAGCCTAAGCTCTAAACCCTGAAAGACCTCGAGACCCTCCGGTGGCCTTGAAACGGCTAGGGTTTAGGCTTTAGGGTTTAGGTTTAGGGTTTAGGGTTTAGGGTTTAGGGTTTACGGTTTAGGTTTAGGGTTTAGGGTTTAGGGTTTAGGGTTTAGGTGCCCCTGATGGCCTTGATAGGGCTTAGCATCATCTTGTTGTGCATTTTGATGAACCGATTGTTCACGGAGTTGTGAAAAGCGACCTTCCCACCGCCGGCGTCGACGACGATGAAGCGCTCATACGTCCAGTGAAAGGGCAAATCGAGGGGGCTGGCGCGAGCTGTAGCAGTCATGGCTTTCTTGTTCTTGTTCCTTACCCAGAGAGCCCAATACCACTTAATTAAGGAATATACCTTAAATCATAATATTAAGGCCCCTATAATTTAAGGTATCTTCCTTAATTAAGGGGTATTGGGTTCCTCCAAACCCTACACCCCTCCATAAAAAACACGTAAAGCCGTAAACCCGTACACTTCCTAAACACTACACCCCAAGCCACGATGTGCAAGTCTGCTCTCTGTTTGTAGCTTGGCTGCATTGCTAAGAAGCGCTTGGCCGCTGGACTCCAGAGTGCGACTGATGGCCACCCATACCCTTAGGATTCCAGCAGGGTTCTGCCAGGCTTCTGTAGGTCTATACGGGTTCAAGTAAGGGGCTTCTATTGAGGGCTCTATGTAGGATTGGTTGGTAATTCAAAGGCCTCTGTCGGTATTTATGAATCGCACAAGTGCAATTAACAATCAAACGTCTCCCGAAGTGCCACCTAGTATCGGCTGTTCGTGTCTTCCGTGTCGACATCATATGCTGATGCCTCGAACGACTTGTTGGCATTCGTGTCGGATAGCACCTTGAATGACCCAGAAGTACTGGCCAAAGAACCAAACCAAACCACCGCAAGCCACATTGAGCAGCAAAGTGGGCACGAAGGCCCACCCCGGTCACATCTGGGACGGATCTTGAACTTCGTTGCTTGGCTGCGGATACATGCACCGAGTCCGCATGTTTCCTCGGCACGGGGTGAAGGCACTCAGAGTGCCGCCCTTCTTTAGCCACTGCAGTCCACTATCCCAGCAGATGATCCCAGCGTCGAAACAAGTCAACTCTCATAGGGCCTACCGTATGTATATGTATCTATATATGTATCTAAATATGTATATGTATCTATAAAACAGCTCAGAGTCCCATCATCTACGCCTTCACAACACCCCGCAACAACACTCACCGAACACTAAACAAACATAGGCAATAAAATCATGTCTGGTAACTCTAAACCCTAAGCCAATAGAGGGTTTGGGGTTTACCAATATTGTTGCTAATATAATGTAAGAGCAAGAGTAGGAGCTTTTCATGTTTGTTGACTTTGAGTTTAGAATTTACTTAGGAAGCCCCAAAAAATGCCAATTTTAAAGCTCTGAATAACCTGATCTGGAGTTTAATCCAGAGCCCTGTAAGAGACGGTTTTGGAGTGTGTTGGGTAGGGTCCCGGGCGTGGTGGGGCTTCAGGGTTGAAGGGCTTCGGACCCTTCGACGCAGGTTCGGCTATCTGACGCGAACATGGTTGTAAAGAATGTCTTTGACCATGCTCGGACCAAGTCCTGCCATCGCCATAAACGAAGTGACAGTGGGGGTTGCAACATGCTTCGAACGTATGTGTGGGCATCACGCGCCGTGCTTCGGAAAACCCGAGCTTCAATCCTGGACCGAACGCAGCTTTTTCCGCACTGCATGTTTCAGTAGGTGATGCCAAGCAGCACCTGCAGACTGCAACAAATCGGCAAGTCCATGAAGAATATAATCGACCGAGTGCTCCATTAGCGAGAGGGAGAGAGATAGATAGATAGATATATTTTTGTATATATATATATGCAAAATCCTTTGTACTATATACACCTTGAGCGTTGTAGGGGCCGCTGCACTCTTGATTAAGTAATGGCTAGTTACAATTCTTTGGGTAGTGGCAGGAAAACGGAGGATTGTGATGCCATGCACATGCACAGTGGTGATAACGAATTTGTCAAAACCTTAACAAGGCTTACTGTTAACGAACTAGCGCGTATATTATCGCGGTGGTAGGGTGATATACTTGATCTTTAGGCCCTAAACCTAAACCCTAAAGCGCCGACCGTCCTATTGTGTGCTCGTGCGCAGCTGGGCCCAGTGTGGTCTTGTAACTGCGCAGCCCCGAAACCCGAAAGCCTGTAGGGTTTTGGGGTTTAGAGGTGTAGGGTTTAGGGTTTAGGGGTTCAGGGGTTTAGGGTTTAGGGGTTTAGGGTTTATAGGGTTTAAGGGTTTAGGGGTTTAGGGTTTTGCAGACCGAAATCTGAAAGCCTCGACTCGAAAAGTCTTGAACCCCCTGGACTCACAAGACCTTAGATACCGCATACCTGTAAGCCCACAGCCCTATTGAAAGGACCCGCCTACGCCTTGGTTTGAGATGAACCCCCAAATCGTGAACCCTAAACCCTAAACGACGATGGTTTAGGGACCAGCAGGGTTCACGGGGGAGGCCAATCGAGCCTTCCGCAAACAAGGTAGAACAGCGTGCCTCTTAGACTTTTCCGGATTGAGGGTTGAATACAAAGGCTTGGTATTTCGGCTTTTAGGGGTTTAAGGTTTGACCTCGCCATTCAGGGGTCATCAGCACTGCGTGCCCAATCCCCAAGCAAAGCCATAAAAACGGCTTAGGGCTTGGGGCTCAATGCTTAAACGCCTAAACCAGGGTTTGTTTTTCGGGTGCAGTGGACTTTCCTCTCTCTGCACAAAAGCCCACTGTTTTAGCGGTTTAGGGTTTAAGCCAAGACCCTAAACCCTAAACCTCAGGCCCTGAAGCCGCAAGCTCTAAACCTGTGTTTCCCGTCCTCGGCTGCTTCTGTTGGAAGTCGGGAGTTGAACTCGTGTCCAGCTTGTCTTCAGCTGCTAAATCAAATCTTTTATGCCTATAGTGATTGGACTACGCCAAGGGTTTTGAAGCTTACTTCGTCGACCCGATTTATATTGGGCACTGTCTTGATGAGATCGTGATTGTGCGAGCGAGCGGCGATCACCAGTGTCATCCAGCATGCCACTTTGTGGGATGCCTGGTCCGGAAAACCCGTGGTCTGTGGACCACAAAAACCCCCAATCGAAAGAAGCCGTTGCCAAAGTGCACAGGTGGGTTCTCACAACCCTTAAATTGCCTCAGAGTCCCCGCCCAAAACCCTACAAAAGTCTTGGTAGCGGCAGGAAGTGAGCAAACCCAAAAACAACGAAGCGGCATTCGAAGGCTTTTGTAAGCTCAAACCTCACCTCACCAAGCCCCAAGTGCTAGATCCTGAAACCGTAAACCCTAGGAAACACGAAACAGCTTGAAGAAGTCCAAAGGGACGAGACTCACAGTAAGCCCTCCCTGAACCTCCTCTTCTTCCCTGGTTAGTGCGCTTCAACCCTAAACCCTAAACCCTAAACCCTAAAGAATAAGCTCTGGGCCCGAGTCTTCTCAGTAGTGGAGCTAGTTTCAGCCGAACATC